CTACAAAATAAAAATCGCCCAAATTGACAACTGCTGGATTTGATGATGACAAAATGTAACTCCAATTTAACAGTAAAAATTCTATAAATACGCCAAAAAATCAAGTTTTTTTCTGGTTAAAAAATAACTTCAAAAATTATGTTTAGCACAATTCTCGGTAAAAATTCAAAACAATGAGAGTAAAACTTCCCTCTCAAACACGCGCGCACTGGAAGGTGGGAACGGCGCTGCTACGACGGCGTCGCCGTTATATCTGCTGGCTACCGGGAAGTTAAATTCAAATTACGGTTCCAGGCCTTTCTTAGATTTAGGGAAATTCACTAATAGTCCCAAACCTACTTACTTTGTGAGAAATTCGTCCTCGTTTATTTGTTTTCCAGCATAGTCCCTATCTTTTGAGTTTAGGTGCGCATATATGAAATAGATTTTTCAATAAATTCTAATAAGTCCTCAATCTTTGATGAGAGTGACATTTGAGTCTCTAACGTACCTAATGTGCACTTGGATCCCCAACCTTTCAATATGTGCAAATTGACCCCACCTGAGAAAAATGGTAACTTGACAAAGTCAATTTGTGCAACTAAGTGCTTGTTTGGATTTCATTATAAGCTGTTGAAATTAATGTGATAGAAACAAATGGCGGATAATGAATAATTGGGCATGTCTTAAAGGTCCTATGAAATGTGTGATTTAAATTAAAAGTTAACGTTGACTTATAAATTATAAAAAGATGCAAACAAGTTAGATAATTATAACCTAATTGTTAATTTAAGTGTGTGTTGGAACATTATTGTGTATAAATTTTAATAAGAAACCCAACTGCTATACAATCATGTGGACCCAACTGTTGCAATTATTATTAAATGCATTTTACAAATCAATTAAAGTAGATTGAGGAAAAGATTATTGTGCCCCTTAATTTTTTCATTCAATCTGTTTAAGTTGGGCATTTTTTGAATCTGGAAATAGAAAAACACATCTTCTTTTTTGTTTCTTAGTGATTGCGACTGGAGCTATATCCTCTTCATTGTTCATAATAATCGGATTTTGTAATAAAATTCGATAAGAATGGAGCCCGAAAAGGGCCAAATAAGAAGGATAAAAGAAAGAATCATGCTACATGTATGCTCTAGTTTGAAAATATTGGTTGATAACTTACACTTGACAATATCACATTCATCAATTTCAAAATTTGTTTTTAAAATAAATAGTACGGTTTTTAATAACATTAACATTGTCAATCATTCTTGTTAAGTAAAACTATACAAATAACATAATTGTAAAGGAAAAAAGGAGAATGGTGAAAAAGGAAAAGAAGAATAAAAAATATCATCTTTATCTCCACCCTCTAGCTCCCATAGTTGACTACCGCATCGTCATGCCTATAATCACCTGCCAGCCAAAGTGGCTCTCCAATGGTACAACTGTCTTCTTAATATAATAGGTGTCTCGCATGGATTGTCGTTAACAATTAAAAAAAAAATCAGGCGATTGTGTAAGGGACGAACCTCTTGAGACAAAGTCTAAAAAAGGGGTGTTTTATTGATGAAAGTTACAATTGGAAATAAACAAAATGTCTCCAAGGGGCGCAAGTACAAGAGTACTGAAAAGGGATAATTAAATTTAATCTAAAAAATTGAAATTACATAATCTCTGTTTGAGAGTGTTTGATTCGAGGTTTTTTCTCTATGTCTTCTCTTCCTTTATGTATTCCCTTGTTGATTTTTTCGTGACAAACCGCTTGATTGCTCTATAAGTACCCACTTTCTTCATAGTGGCTAACTTGTCGTGGAACGCCATCTCTAACTGCTCCCATTACTCTTTGTCGTTCAATCTCCTTCAATTGGGCTCCTTAAATCGTGAAATGTGATAAGATTGCTCGATAACTACTATTCCAGATAACCATAATATCTCATGTTTGTTAAAATCCTGATCGATTCGAAGGTTTGGGCTTGAACGGGGTCATCGCTCTGGGCGACCGTAAAGCGCTCCATTCGCTCAGATTCTGGGTGTCTTGCAAGTTTGGACGATGATGTTAATGTGTTCGTGGGCTTTCACTGCATTCATCAATAATCATATTTGGGTCTTTATCCTGGACTCTCCAATTGAGCTTCACTATTTGGACTATTTAATTTGGGCTGCACTTTTTGTGTGTCAACAATTACCCCCCACTTTGTATTTTCCAGGCAACATTTGAAATTCCCGAGAATTTCAATCATTATTTCCTTCTATAGCCTGAAAAGGTGTAACGTTACAAACTCTTATAAACTCAAAAGACACGTCATTTCATCGCACTATTAAACTACGACTCTATATTTCGCGCTTCCTCCTCACTATTTTACTATTCATCTTCTTTCTTCTCTACTACGTTTCTTAGGCAAGTCTTAACAAAATTGTACTTAGTACTCAATGACAACTTCACAAACTCAATCTGATGATTCTTTCAGTTTTGAAGATTTTCAGAAAATCTTTACTAGGCCGTATGTAAATCCAAACTTCCTTGCACAAGCCAATGCTGACCTCAATGAATTCTATCTGGGTCCATCATTCAATAATGCTGAAATCGTTGAACGAGTGGCGGTGGGCCAACTGTTCCCTTACACTGAAGACCTTCCATTTCTGAACTCCCTGCCATAAAAGTATTCATACTTAGCCAAAAACTGATCCTAATTTTCGTAGATGGCATGTACGTATGGTAAATCATGGTCTTACCAAAGTAATTTTTGATCGTGCTATGATTTTGGATCTATTAGAAATTACCCTTTTTCTCCCCAACTTATGACCCAGTGTTTTTTCCAATCGCCCTGAGTTTCTAGTCTTCTGAGTATAACACTTTTATTTTTTCTCTTGGCCCAATGTCCATTACTCTAAAGGATGTTGGAGCCCTAGTGAATCTTCCACCCTTGGGCGATACTATCTTTCCTGGTATTTTGATTTCTAGTATTGCCCACAATTTGACAAGAAAACTGTTGAATCTTACTCAAGCATGCATGACCTTTATACTGCTTCCAATTCTGAGCCTACTCATGCTGAGTGTGTTGCCTTCCTTCAGGTCTGGCTCTGTAATATGTTCTTTGTGTCCCCCGCAAGAAACCCTCATTGAGTTATCTGCCTCTATCACATGAATTAGCACGTGACAGGTCTTTGAACTTGCTCAATTGTGGTTGAGAGCCTATTATAGAGGCATGGCTTCCCTCCAACTCCAATTAAAGAATGATACGTCTCCCACTGGTAGTGGGCCTCTTTGGCTTGCTCAATTGTGGTTGAGAGCCTATTTTCCATAACTTAATGCTCCACCATCTCCTTCTCGAACAGTTAGATATTATGGGCCATTCACTCATCAATTGAGCCATGTAAAAATGTCCAGCAGAGATGTTTTCACATTCTTTTGTACTTTGAATTCAACAACTTCTTTTTTCCCTTTCTCTCCTCATTAAATCCCTCTTTATGTGCGACCTCCTTCTACCTTAACTGAAGTGAGCACTTCCTTGCCCATTTGNTCCTTCTATCTTAGCTAAAGTGAGCACTTCTTTACCCATCTGGGTTCAATTTTTGGTTGGGAGAGAACTGTTCGATGACATTGTCACAGGAACAAATGCTAAGGCATGGGTTAAGATATATATACTTCCCAATTTTTTGCTCGCCGACTTGGTTTTGGCCAAATGTGGCATGTTCTTCCTTGTGTATTCTAAGAATTTGACAGAACATTTCCATACTATCAATAAAACTGAGGCGCAAGCCATAGACGCCTGTAATAACCTTTTGGTCGAAGGCTGCGGAGATGAAGGAGCTTCAAACAAAGATGAACGACTGTAGGGAGAGAATGACTGTTAAAAAGTGCAATGCTTCCCAAGAAATTGAACGAACCAAGTCTTTGGTTGAGTAGTACAAAAAACTAGATGTTGTGACAATTTTGTAACTGAATTAAATGTCGCTTCTTCCCAACAAAGCGAAGATTGGGGAAGACATAGGGAAAGAATACGTTCGACTTGGGGTGAATTGTAATTAAGACATCAAATGCCTTAACTTTCCTTTTGTAATTTCACACTAATTGCCATTGTTAATTTTGGATGTGACCGCAGTTATCGTCATTAATGAATGACTGTTTTGTCTACTTGCGTATTTATTGACGTTGTCCTTAATCGTCAACCCCCAAGTAGTTAATTGCTTTATGCTAAGATTCATGTATATTCTTTCTTGGTATTCCCGTCTCTTTTTCCAAGATTTTGGGCCATCTGATTTTAGTTACTATGTACGAATGTGGCCGTTTATATTCTATCTTTTCACATTCACGCCTCTATAAATGCGTGTGTATTTCGCACTTATCATTTTCATTTCCATTCATTTTTTTCAAAAAACTAATTTATTGTCATCATTTGGCATCTCAACAATTGATCCAAAATTTCTTGATATCACCTTTGGTATGGGAGATATAGGAAATATTTTTGAGCCAGCAAAGTTCTTCCCATCATCTCCATGTTCTCCATAATGAGGTCAATGATGGAAGACGATTTTTGAGGATGCCATTCAGGTCACTTCGCTTGCTGGGAGTGCTTCTCAGTCTCATTGCCTGTCATTGCAACAATGCAATTAGGCAGGAGATCTGATGGTACTTTTCTAATTCTCATGTGTTTGGTGTCATCTAAATCTTCTAAATGATAAGTTCCATTAGGCAGCACACTATTTAGTTTATATGGCACTTTCCAATTGGACGACCATTTGCCATACTTTGGATCCTTACTATCCAAAGGGAGTATTGTTTTTCAAACTAATTCGTC